GAATACTGCATTTCCTGGGTGGATTATTTTGGTGTGCCAATTTAGGATAGTAGACTCCTCACATGCTGCTGTTACACTATGCACTGGACACAGTTGTAAATATTCCTGTGACACTACATGAATCTTGAGCTTCTCCAATGAAATTTGTCTTTATCACACTTTGCTCCAAAGTTGACTTGAATGGCTCTTTCACAGTGGAATATTTGCTAAGGAGAAAATATTCCCCTCTGCCCTCTAAAGAAACTGCTGCATACAAGTTATTTAATATTGTTTGTGAGTACATAATGATTGGTTACTACTGAATGGGTTGTAAATGATATCTTTTCTATACAAATTTTATTTTAAGAGTCAAACTATAAATTTCAAAGGAATATCAAGATATTACTGTATATTGGCTTCTTGATTCTCACAAGAAGTTTTATAGAGTGCAATAAAGGAAGAACTACTGAATTTTTGATTTTCTTTGGTTGCTTGGGAGTTTTTTTGGCTGAAAATAAAAGAATTAAGAAGGTTGTTCTTTGCCATTCAGTTTGTGCCCAATTCTGTGTGTGGTAATGAGGTAAGCTGATGATTAAAGACACAGTAAAGATTCATAATTGAGATGACATAAAGAAATGTCTTCAGCTTCTTATATTCTCTTCTTTGTAATTTTTTTCCCTGTAACTTGTGGGGAGTTTGGTAATTTTTTATTGACTTGCATTTCTTGTCTTGGTGGGGTTTAGTCACTGCCTGTCTTTGTGCAAAATGTTCCTCAGCTGCAGAACACATGAAATTCAAGCTTATAAAGGCACAACATTTCATATTTTACATGTTTGAGCTTCAAGGTACAAGTCAGTAAAGGGTAAGTTTTCAACTGAGAATCTTGTGGGGAAAAGAAAAACCACTGTAGGTAAATCCTGTAAACTTGATTCTTTTGATGGTCTTTAATATTTCTTAGTCTAGTAAAGGTCTGATTTTTTTAATATAAACCCAATCTATTCCAATATAAGTGATGATTTTTTTTTTTGTATAACAGTAATTACTCATCTCCTTTGAATGGCTGATTCAGTCCCTGTTTTCAGCCCTCGTGTCAAGTACTGGGATAACATGAGGACTGTACATGCTGACTTATCCTTTTCCAGCCTGAAGATGGGTGTTAGCAGAAGGATAATGAAGTATTGTTAGCTAATTATGTTACAATGAAGCAGAATGCTTTTCAATGGCAACACTGGACCTACAGTCCTTCCAGTTTTACCTTGTGTGAGGGATTTTTGTCTTGAGGGGAGAAAACAACCCTCTGTCCTGAGGCAGAGCAAGTTAGTGAGTGGGAAAGGATCCAGAGGTGTTGGAAATTCTGTCCTAATTCATCCAGGCCTCTTTGCTGTCGCTGACAAGCACAAACTGAAAAAAAAAAGTTTCCGCAAGTGGCTTGACATGTGTAGATATTCTGTGAACTCCTTCCAGAGGCTGATATAAATATGTTGGGAAGTGAGACCATGTCATTTATGAAGCAGCTTCTACAAATCATCACCATTTCCTGGGTAAGTATTGCCCTGAGAGTGTTTTCATGTTACATTTCATAATTTAAATGCTTTGCTTTGCTTAGTCTGAGATCTTTGAGGGATTACATACTTGTTCCTGGACTTGGATGCCTTTTACCTGAGGTTTTGAAGGCATTCCAGAGGGTCTGCTGGTGTAGGGTAATCCAGACCTTAGTGAAACGAAATGAGGAAGAACAGTAGTGTTTTCTCTCTGAACATCAGAAACCAAAAAGGAGGTTTTCTGTTAATTGTATTTAATTTTGCACTTGGGAATTAGACAAGTAAAAACAAACTAAAAATTAAAATCAAGCAAATTTAGGAACTGCTTTAAAATTCTCTACTCTTAAATTCCAGTGTCTCGTGATGTAATTTCTGATGTATTTAAGGACTGAGTTTCCCTCTGGTTTACATTGTTGGAATCAGAGTCTGTGGGCAGTTCTGTAATGTTGGATACTGCTTGTAAATAGTTGGTTTATTGCACCCTCTTCCTGAGGGGTTTAGAAGAAAATAACAATTCACAGCAACATTCATTCATGTTCAAAGATACCAGGTATCAGAACTAATGGTTAAACATTCCTTTATTACCGCTGTTTGCAAATGCATGTGATAAAATCCCATTTTTGCATTGTTAGGGACAAGAACTTTGCTGGACGAGTGCTGTTTTTCATTCCTTTCCCATTTCTGAAGTACCCTTCCTTACTGAGTGAAGTTGCCAAAGAAGGAAAAATAAAGTCCTCCCCTCTTCTCAAATGCTTAAAGAAGCAATTGTCCAATCCTAAAAATAATCACTGCATCCAAAATACATCTTGGTGAACTCCAGGCCCTCTCTTGTTGGGAGTTTTGCCATGAATTTTTCAGGGAGATCAGCACTTTATTGTGATGGCCAACTCCTGAAGTTGAGATGTTCCTGGGTGGTTGTGCCAGCTGCCTCTTGTTCTTTTTCGCAGAATAACCACTTCCATGAGGTATTTACCATTTACAAACATGAAGTAGGGCCTAGAGTGAGCACTCCACATTACAGAGTGGCTATCACTGAAAACACACAGCAAATGCTTCCCTGAAACTTTTGCTGGGGGTTATTTTTAGTTGTTCATTTGAGATTGATGGTGACTCTCTGAGAAAAAGGCAAATTTCAAGAAGCCATGAGGGAACAACTGCCATCTTTGAAGTAATGAAGGTTTGGTGATTCTTATGTACCATGAACTACTAACATTAGAGCTGGTATGTGCATATGAGTAATTAATTTTAAACAAATGAACTTTCTAGAAGATAATTCAGCCTTGAAAGAGATGGGGTTTATGCTGAAGTCCAAATAGACCTTGTCCTCTTGCAGAGCTTGTCCATGGTCATGAGGCCAATTAACAGAATATCACAGGATCCTTGGGGGTGCAGCAGATTTCCCCTTTGAAAACAAAGGACTGATTAGTTTGCTTTGGTAAAACCCATTCAAGTGGAAATTTGTGTGGATACTTCACATGCTTTGTTACATCAGAGCTTTAGCACTGACTTTGCTGTTTAGGTTTATTCTTTCCCAACATTACTCCTCCTACAGCAGTTTGCTCTCTAAATGATGGGGTGTTCCTTCTGTCCTGTTCCATCCCATCTGAGGAGTGTGTCCCTCCCTCCAAATTGGTGCTTTGCAGCCAAAATTATGAGGCACTGTGTGTGATGGTGATGAAACCACTGCCCTTGTATGTGCCAGTGGTGCTGGGCTTTGCAAAGTTGGATTTGCAGGAGATGATGCCCCAAGAGCTTAATTTCCATGCATCATTGGACATCCTGGATATCAGGTCAGTTGGTACCAAAATGAAAGTTCTGTTTGGTTTGGATGGTTGTGTTCTGGGGGAAAAAAAACAAACCAGCTTGTTCAATTAATTAGTACTTGGTGAATCAGTGCAAATTAAAAACATTGGCAGAGCATTGCTAACATGAGAAACCAAATGAATAATAGTGATAAGTTCCCTTTTTGTTCCATTAAGCAACAGTATGGCCCAATAAAATTCCAAAGAGGATCTCCAGCACATCACTTTATAAACTCAAATAAGACTGGAAAGGATAACTGTGGCTTTTCTTGACCTTGAAAAGGGTCTTTCTGTTTAATTAGATTTCTAAAAGTTCCTTTGCAAATAGAAGATGCAGATTTTTGTTTGTTTTGTTCATATCTGAGCCAGATTTTGATTTTCTGGACTGTCAAAACCCTTCCCTGAAGTTCTGTGTCATGAAAAATATTTTACCATACGTTGTTATATTATTTGGGGCAATTGTGATACACTTCCTAATGCAAAAGCGATAAACTTAGTAAAACTATTATTTAATAAGTGAGGGGTTTTTTAAAGAAAATCTGTCTTTTATATAAGTATCTCAGTTTCATGAGACTGAAGAATTTTACTAAGGAGGATGAATTATGAGGAAGACCAAGCTCCTCCCTCTAAGCAAGTGGAAATCTAAAATTAAGAGGCTCCAATGGAAGAAGTATGGAGAAAAAAAAACCAACAACCCCTTATTAAAGGCTATGTATGTACTGGTAGATCAAGAAAAGAACACAAAACCAGCTAAGCACTACTCCTGTACCCAACAGTCCCCCCCAAAGGAAACAGTTCAGCACTTTCTGCCTTTGGGCGCCATTCTCAGCACGGCCAGCAGGGGGCGCCGTTGGATGGCGGGGGGAGCAGAGCCTGCAGTGCTCGGGGTTGGCCAGCAGGGGGCGCTGTCGGGCTCTGGCAGCCGCCGCGCGAGGCCCCGGGAGCGGGAGAGGCCGAGGACGGAGATTTCCCCTCAGAACTAAGAAGGGGAAGGGGAAAGGGGGAGAAAAGGGGTTCTTCCCGCGGACTCACGCTGTCAGCGGCTGGCTGTGGCCAGGACTCCCCCAAAGGTTCCTTCGCAGAAGGGTCAAGCCTCTCCGATGAAATCTGAGCAAGTCCGGGCTGGGGGCAGAACAGGGCGCAGGAGAATGGAGGCGAACGGGGGCCAGAAGCAGCCAGATGACCCGGCCGAAAATAAAGCAAACTCAGAGCCCTTCCACACACACCCCTTCCCTGAGTCAGGGCAAGAGCGAAATGCCTGCTGTTTCCCGAGGAGAGGGAAAAAAACCCTCATCACCTCACCCCCCCCCAAGTCTTCTGGGAGCTATCAGCCTGGAATGCGGGTCTGCTAGCTAGTTCCTTTGGGTGCGTCAATCAGCCCAGGCAGACACCCTCCCCCTCCCTCGTTCAACATCTTTCTTTTACAGCTATGCAGGGGAAAAAAAAAATTTCCCCTTGGTTTTTTTAGAACAAGTAAACCTATTACAATAAGTTAATACTTCCCCCCTCCCAAATGTACATTTTTAAAAATATATTTCTCTTCCAACAAGGGGAAATCTCACTGTTTCAAGGCAATAGTGGAACTGCTTAGACAGAAAGAGCAACCAAATAAGTAAATCTAGAGAGATTATACCTTTTCCACCTATAATTCCTTCCCTTTATTCCTTTGTGCAGTGACAAAGGACCCACCTCTGATGGAGAATGATGAGTTTACTGGTGCCCACCTTGGCTGGACTCCTGTGTGGGCAGCACCAAGTATGTGATACTTCCTTCATTTTTGAAGCTGCCTTGCTCTTCCTGGTTGATTTATAGGAAGAATGATTCCAGAGTAGGTGGTTTCCCATAAATTCACATTTTAGTTCCTTACATGTTTTGGGAGTACATTCTGTGAGGGCAGTAACAGGTACAGTATTTCACATGAAGTTTTAACTTAAAAATGTTATTCTATCTCTGATGTGCCTGATATATTGCACTAATATTGGAATAATATCCTTTGCAGGATGTTATGGTTGGAGTGGATCAAAAAGACAGCAATGTAGAGGCTGAAGCACCAAGTAAAAGAGGGATCCTGAGGCTGAAATACCCCATTGAGCATGGAGTTATCAGTAACTGGAGTGACATGGGAAAGGTGGGTGTTTATTTTTAATGTAATTTTGTTGAGGCACAACTTCCTTGGTGTGTGGCCAGAGCAGTGACCTCTTTGGGAAGTGCAGGAGAAACTGGAGAGGCATGGGAAGTCCAAAGGACACTCTCACTCTGTTAAATATCTCAGATATTCCATATGTCCTGGTCTCTTGGGGAAGTGTCTGAGTGTGTATGTGGAAATATTGTACCTCCTCTTTAGAGACAGGATTGTTATTTGGTCCCTAGTCTCCAGGTAAAATGGCCTGGGGAGAAAATTCCACAGGGAAATTCTCCTGGTAACGTTTTCCTATGGAAAATACCACAGAAAGGATGACAAGGGGCTAGGGTTGTTCTGTACTCACACTTTCCAGGATGAAGTGTGTGAAATTATAATCTCTGTATCTAAAGTCAGTTCTTGCGTCGTATTCATGAACCCAAACTGGTGAGTGCAGAGTGTTCCAGATAACAAACCAAAGTCGATAGAGGAGCAATGGGACTTCCTCAGTTCGTATCTGGAAATAAACTGCCCTCCTACTCCACTAGGTGGAAGCACAATATTTGGATTTCAGTCTTGCACTGCTTGCTGTGAGGACACCTGTCTACCTCGTACATCCCATTATGTTTTGCTCCCTGATAATTTTCCTGCTGTCTGCATTCAGCAAGAAATTATATTTTGCTGAAGAAAAAAAAAAATTGGAGGTCATTATTTATGTTCCCACATCTGGAAATTGTCCTGTGCACAACACATACTGCTGTGTGTTCCTTCTCTGGGTAATGCTGGATGCAAGAGCAGACTATCTAAAATGTAATTAGGAAAAGGAATTGGAGAAGGTTAAAAAGGTGACATGTGCTTTCCTGTAGTGTGAACTCATGGGTGGATAGATTGGTTTTAAGGTGTAATGTGAAGGAGGCTTCTGGCCCTGCTGTAGTTCAGATAATGGTCAGGTACTGTATGGGCTCTTGTAGCTTTAGCTTTTCTTCTTTGTCACTCAAATCACTTGTGGAAGTGGGTCTCCAAACTTCCCTTCTTCTGGTAGGGAAGAGACAAGAAACAGAGTTGATGACTGCTATGATTATTGCAAATAAGGAAAAAAGTGTATTTTTGGTTATATACAGGCTTCTGTGATTCAGTTATGTATCTCAGGTCCTCCTGAAGTTCTGTAACAAACACAAAGACTCCTCCTTTCAGAATTTCTGGAATAAAATTCCTAAAGTTTTGATGCAAAGGCAATATCTTTTGCATGTGCATATATATATATATTTCCCCCAAAATTTTCTAAACCAGTTGCATGATTTTGATCCAAGCCACAGATTTATTTCTAATGCTTGGAAGTCATACTCCTAAAAGCATCTTGATGCAGAAGAGACAAGGGAATTACTGGGTAACGTGCCAAAAATGGGACAAAGGCACAATAGTGCAGTGCCCAACCATCCACAGGGTACAGAAAGAGGGGGATCACCAAAGAAGGAGGCTGAGTGTGAGGGGAAAGTGGGAGCAGGGATACTGCAGGATGTGGGAGCGGAGGGGGGAGCACATTCCTCTTCTCCCGTGCTTCAATTCACAATATTCAAATTAGGCCTGCTCTGTTTTCCGCTGGATAATAATACAGGGCATTGTCCATCCCTGTTAATTTGTTCCCAGGAGCTGACCTGACAACATGTGGGAGGGATGGAGCTTTTCTGACTCTAGTGACAACATAAATGTTTAATATAAGTGTTGGGGTAATTTGGGGTAGTTCTTCCTCAGTAATTTGTCTTTGCTGCTCACATTTAAGTCTCATGGCCTATAAAATCAACACTGAATTATTTTGGTTCTTGGGGAATATCATTATCCCTCAACATTATGGTTACTGGGCTGTGCAGTGCCTGGATTTGAGGGAAAACCTGGAAACTGCCCAAGATTTAGGCAGGGTCCTGCTTTGTTCCTCACTGCTGAAATCACCAGCACTTTGTGAATTATGTAAACACCTTCTCTTCCCTTATGTGTTCCCTGTCTGAAATAGCATTTTTTTCTTATATCTGACTGATATATATTTTTAAACTTTTACATAATTACTTTCTGGTTTATTCAACTTCTCCCTGCATTTCTATTCTAAACCTTCAAATGGAAGATGGCCTGGCATCCCAAGCCCCACTTCTGGAAACATCTGATTATTCATTTTTTTTTAGGGGATTGATATGGAATTGAAATTTCTTTTTAGGACTGATTTTTTTTTTTTTCCTCTAATGAGTAATTCCAGCTCTGGACAGCTGTTAACTTTGTAGGTGCTTCACAAAAGAGGATCTTTCTTCCATTTAAGTTCATTTTGGAGCATAATAATACTTGTTTCTGAGATATTCTTCAAATAAACTTACCCATAAAACTATCCTGATGTTTTATGCTCAAAAATAAGCTCATTGGGTCAGGCAAAGCTGAGGTAAAAAAAAGAATAAAACCACAGCACAGTGGTTTCAGTTCTAAAATAGAGGTGAATTTGGCAGATTTGCACTTGCATGCTTTCTGTCTATTTTAATGTCTGTAAAAATATTAATAAAATAAAAGATAGAAATAACAATTTTTATTGTATGATATATACTACTTGTATTTTAAATATAATATTATTTAATATAATTTAATATATTACTAAAAATATATTAAAAATCCATTACTCAGGCTGTATTTGAAGAGCTTTCTTTGTAGTTCTGTGGGCAGAGGAAACCATTTTGAGACACTTCTCTAAAGCATTTTTTCACTTTTAGGTTTTGACATCATTCTTCCTACAACAAACTCTGGTTTTGCTGGAGGAACATCCCACCCTTTTGACTGAGACCCCCTTGAATCTGAAGGCCAGCCATGGAAAAAATGACTCAGGTAATTGTCTGAACCCTGTGCCACGGATCATTCCTGCATGGAAGCAGCTAAAAAATATCAATAGTCCCCGGTGTTCAATTTTGTTCTTAATTTGGGAGCTAATCCCTTATGGTTAGTGTGGGTTGGCAAGATGGGTAAGCCATGATGAGAGAGCAAGAGTTGCTGCTGCTCTTGCATTATCAAGGTCCTGAAACATTTGGGACTTGAAAATATGTCACTGCCATGCACAGGTATCCTTTTAAAAGCTCGGAGTGATTTTTTTTTTTTGTGTGTGTGTGTGTGTTCACAAGACTGTGCTCAGTTCTGGATGTAGGAAAGCTGAAGCCAAGAGGCTTGTGATGCTGAGTTTTGGTGTGTATCTAGATAATGATAACACAGGATTATGTGATTTTTTTTGGTTGGAGTTGGTGAGTCATTGATGTATTTAAAAGTGAGGTTTGAAAGTGCTGGTTGTGAACCAGCTGAATCTTCAGTGTGAGTTTTGGATCAGTGGCACATTTTGGGTGCCCACCTCTGGCTACCAAGAGTGTTCAACTTGTAGCCCAACTCCTCAGCTACTGCTTTCTACCCTTGACACTGTCCCTTCATCAGCACTTCTGCATCAGGCAAAATGCTACTTGTCATACCAGAATTGTGAGTTTTGAAAGATTAGAATAAAGCACATGACTTTGTGGAACTTCCAAGTGGAGCACCTCTTCAGGGGTCAGGGGAAAAGTGTTCCAAAACTGGAATGTTTGTGTTGTCTTGGGAAAATGAGTTGTCTTAGCAAATGATGCTTTGCTAAGTGTTCCTGCCTGTGACATACCTAGTCTGATCTAGCCAACTTTAATCAGAACAAAAAGCAGACCTCTGAAGTTTTATATATTTTGGAGCAGCTTTATGGCCAAAAGTCCATGTTACAAGTTTAACCAGTGATAGAAAGAGAAGTAAATGTGATTTAAATACAGATATAGGTATAGAATCACCTGGGAAAATGGGATGTGACTCTGCACTTCCCTTTGTTCCAACTTTTGGCATATATTTAATAGGAAGATTATGCATCAATTTAGCAACAGTGTAAATAAATTAATTAAGTAGTGAGTTTGACAGAATGAATTACTGGGAGAGAATACAACTGGGAGATAACAAACTACAACAGACCATAAGAACAGTGTACTTTTTAACAACCAGGAGATGTGGCTCATACAATAGACGTGTCCAGGACTGCTCCTCTGTCATTATACTGTAATGATAAATCTTGCTTTCAAGATTGTTTAAAGGCTTCTTGTTTATTGCTGATTGCATTAAATTCATCACCATAATTATGAAATATTGTTAATTCATGTAACCTTTAATTGAAAGCATAGTTTCCATTAAATGTTGGCTTCATTGGCAAAAATATTAGCCTCTGAAATCCAAAATTTGAGTTAACCCCCTCACATCAGAAGCTCTGATGGTGATGGTTGAGTCCCCATCCCTATAGGGATTTAAAAGCCATTAGATGTGGCACTTGAGGACATGGTTTAGTGATGACCTTGGCAGTGTTGAGTTTACAGTTGGACTCTGATCTTAGAGGAATGGCTTATTATTCCTTGAGATGGGAATAGGCAGCTTATTCCTCATGGCTCCTTCCAGCTGTGTCTTCTGTGCATTTTTTATGTGTGTGTAGATATATACATATAAAACTCTCTAGATTTCTCCACTGTGCAGTCCTGCCATCAGTGTAAGAAAATTATCCCAGGGGTATCATCTTCAATTAATGTTGTCAGCAAAAATCTGACCTGGGTTAATAGAAAGATATCCACTGGCTTTGGTGATTTTCTTTTCAAATGAAATCCCAAAGAAAATATAACATGCTGTTCACAGAAGAGCTGTGGTTCAGGAGGGGACTCAAGAGTAGTAACTGTCAGTATTAATTTTAAAAGAAATAAAATTTACTATCTCTTCAGATCCTGTTAAGTGTAGATCTGAAAGTTTTTTCTACTCTTCATTCCAGATTCTGTTTAAAACATTCAGTGTGCCAGCCATGTGTGGAGCAATTCAGGCAGTGCTGTCTCTGCCGTGGGACCAATGACTGGTGAGTCTTCCTGGGGGTTGAATTTTCCACCTGTCCTTCTCTTGAAGTCTTGAGTCTTCATATATTTTGAAAAACAAGTTAAAATACTACAGACTTTGTAGCCTGATGCCATGATATAATTTTGTATACAAAGATGGGCAGCTTACAGGAATTATGACTGTCTTAAATACTTGTTTTATGTTTAAAATTCAATTATTTGTGTATCAGAAATGCCTTATTCATTTTGAGTGGAAAACGTGCTTCATTTCCTACCCAAGAATAACATGACTTTACACAGGTATTGTTATATTTTCCTAGTGGTGTGTTTTACTTTAATGAGAGATTCACATTTTTATTAAAAAATAGGTGGGTTTTTTTTACAGTTTGAACATGACTTCATATCTGTAAAGTGCTGGAGCTTGTCTTAAAAATGGGCTTGGGAAAATCTGTGTCCTGACTGTCACACTGTGTCTTGATTAAAAACTTCTTGGCTGCCTGCAGCAGAACAGGAGATGGTGAGAGACATCAAGGAAAAGTTTTGTTGTGTGGCATTGGATTTTGAAAATGAAACAGCAACTGCTACTTCTTCCTCCTGTCCTGAAAAGAGCCATGAGCTTCCTGATGGACAAGTTCTCACTATTGGGAAAATTTCAGAAACTCCCATCCAGGCATCCTTTGTAGGTGGGACAGGACTTTTCTTTCTAGGGATTTGGCAGACAATGAGAAGGAGAACTTTTAACAAGTATAGACAACCTTCAGCTGTAGGAACTGAGTTATTTATTCTCAAATGGAGTCACTTCTTTAGAAGCTATGGATGCTGCTGCTGCTGGACAAAAAGATGCTTCTTTTTAATTAGTAATAAACTTCCATTAAAATTCTCAAAATTGGCTTCCTGGGAACATGTTAAATAATGTGTCACTTCAAAACAACCCCTTCTCCTGTATTAATTTTAACAAAGAAAAATTGTCACCATCATGGAATTTACTAAACCTATGGAATATTTGGCATCTAGCTTTTAAATGGGAATGCTGTCTTGTAAGTGATTTTTGAGACTTTAGTCTCCTGCAATTCAATTCTGCATTTCCCATCAGCAATGTTTTCCTGCTAAATGATATAAGGTCTGTGTGAGACACTTGTCGTCAGTTATGTCACAGTTCTTGATGTTCACTTTTAAAATACAAGCAGCATTTTAAAGATTTGTTTTGGGGGCTTTTCCCTCTGTTTTTGCTTCCAAGTTAAATGTTATGTCTGTGATGAAATAGTATTGTCTTGGAATTAGTGAGCTCTGTATTAGGGCTTTGCTGACATTCTAAGAAACTCTAAATACAAGAAAATCTATTTTAAAAAAGCAGCATTTTGGAGATAGAAGATGGAAATGGAAAATCCAGAAACTAGTAATTAACCTTTGATTAAAGTGTTTGTTGGTCATTTTAATTGGGGATTATGGGCTTTGAAAAAGAAATTACATCTGCTTTACCTCATGTATGCAAAATAGGGAGGGAAGAGAAAAAAACATGGAGTGATGAAAGCAAATCACCTTTGTGGAAAGCTTCTTGAGACCACTGGGGACACCACAGCTGGGGTGAACTCGACCCCTTTTTCTATCTGGGAAACTTTTAATGAAAGAGGAAAAGGACCTGGTGATCTTTTACTGCAGAGGTTAATAACACATGATACTGATGAGCATTTTCTGTAAGAAGTGAACCCTGCAGATCTCATTACCTGGACCTCCTGATTGTGCATTCACATCCCACAAGAGGAGTGGAAAAGACACTTGACACATTTAAAAGGTTATAGTGGACAATGTTTACATTTCTGATTCTATTCCCAGTGCATTTTCTTCTTATTAGAAGTATAAAAGACCACTAAGGGTCATCCAGGCTGTTTTCCATCCCACTGCTGGCTGAGGCATGTCTGACTGCAGTGAATGTCAAGGTAAGGACAAAATTTGGGGCCCAATTCATTAACTAGCAATTGCTGTAACTCAATCTGTTTTGCTTGCATCAATTTTAGGTAAAACTCTTGATTTCTGTTGTAAATCTTCATCTAGAAACTGTGGGGAGATGTGCTGAGTTATGTCTAAAGTGTGACAGCAAGGCCAACTCTTCATCACATCAGAGTTGGGCCAAAGCATGGAATAGTAAAAACCATTCAAAATACCCATCAGTCTATGCTGGTTTAACAGGGCATTTTGGAGAACAGCAGTCCTGAGAGAAAGAAGCCAAGAATAGTAATGTAGTGACAGCAAGCAGTGAGAGTTGCAAGGCCTGACGTGAATTAAATGTGCGAAGGCGGAAGCCGAGCCCAACAACAACCTGATATGGAGGAGAATGAGATTAAGGGGTTGAAATATCTCCTGCTTAAGGTTTGCCTCAGGCAAGAGCGAGTTTGTAGGTGTAATATGTTGTTGAATTTTAATATGGAAATGTTTCCTGGCATGTATTTCAAACTCCCTAGAAATAGTGATATTGATCTAACCTTCAATTAATGGGAGAGGTCCTCTGTGAAAATCGGGTCTGGGTTTGAATGGCAAATAGCTTTAATATTCTGAGCAGAGAATCATTTACACAGCTCAGTAAGAGACTATAAATCACCAGGACTTTGGCTTTTTTTTTTTATTATCATTTTAATGCAGGCTTGCTTTCCCTGGAGCAAAGGACCAGGAGTGTGGTGGATCATTGAAAAATCACAGAGGTGATGTCAGTAGGTACAGACAACAAATAATACAGTTATGCAAAAGGGAGTTATTTGAAATCCATTCCTGTTCTCTGTTGCCATGTTTTTCAGAAATCTGCTCTCTTTTGGGCAGTGGGATGAGATGAACACTCCCCCCCTTTAGCTTTTACACAATCCAGGGGTATCTTTCCACTTTCAGTTTGCACAGAACATCCATTCTGAAGGCCATTTTTTATAGCAGTCTTTTTCCTCCTAGGCTGTTGGCAAATAAACTTTCTTAACCATGAATTAATACAGAGTTTAACTGAAGTTGATGCTGATATTGAGCAGTATTCTATAGAGCTGTTCATGATCCAGGTGTACATTTTGCAGGTTTACTCTCTTTATTGATTTCCTATCTGGCCCAGAGAAAATTAGGTTCTTACAGGGCTTCGAAGCCTCTAATTAAACCAGAGAAGAATTTCATCCAGTCCTGGCCTCCACTGGTCTGTGAAATACCCAAGCTGAGAGATCACCTTGACCAAGTGGACCCCCTGATTTAATAATACCATTCATAGAGCTTGCACCTTCAGAACTGACCTTCCCTAGCAGTTTGACCTTGGAAGCGTCACTTTTATTTAGTTTAATAAAATAAAAAGAAAAGAAAAAAAGGAAGAATGGCTCCAGTCTGCCTAAACTTGCCTGGTTTGTGCTACTCAAGTTCCAAATGACAATCCTATCTGCCCACTTTCTGCTATTATAGTCTTAGCTCTGTTTCTGGATCTACCTATTTCCCTGCTGAAAGGTGGAGAAGGATGAATTGGGTAGAGTTTTGTCATACTTTTTAGCTGAAAAAGCATTAATTAAGTGCTGTGGTCTGGGTTTGAATTTATTTTACTTTTGGTAAGGTTTTTTTTCTGCAACAAAATATCCTCTTCTGATCTCTTATATAGACTTATTTTCCAAAGGGTTGTATGGTGGTTGTCTGCAGAAAATACTACTACTCTGAACATTTTCCTATGGCCATTCCAATTGCTGCATGTTTTGCTGTTGTCCTTGGTGAGTGAGAGAAGATGTGATTCTCTGAATGTGTGTAATTCCCTGGCCAGGCAACTGCTTGGAGATTGTCAGGAAGCTTTCCTTCTGGAAGCTCTTCCTCTCTGGGAGTCTTGTAAAGAGCTTTTTGCATTGCAGGTTGCTCACTAAATCAGCTGCTTGGCTCTCTCACAGAGCTGCTGAATTAACATGATGTGACCCAGGGCTGCGAAGGGATTTCTTTCATTAGCAGGACAGGGATGCTCAGGAGAACACAAGATGTGTTTCCCAGACAACAACTGATGTCGCTGGTGACTGGAAGAAAGTACAAAGGTTGAAAAAGGAGTTTATGAAGAGTAGGGATCAATTTAGAGGGGAAAAAAAGAAGCAAAATTATAGATTTTTACAAAATATAAAACAACATATAGACCTGCTTACAAAGTCTGTGAAACAGCTGTGAGAGTCTCAGGAATAAAAATCCTTCACAAATGAATGGCAAAGAAATGCAGTTTAAAACACCTCCTGAAGTCTGTACACGCTGCAACCTTAAAGTCACAATCCTTACCCGACTTTTTTTCTCCAAAATAAAACAATCCAGAATGATAATCCTGCTGGAATAAACACAGATGGCAATTTGTACACGATTTAATTTCAGCTGAAGTTTTACTTCACATTCTGAGCGGAAAAAATAAACCATCTCTGAGTGCTCATGATAGGAAGGCTGCTGCAGACTTTTGGTTAATATTTAAGAGGCATTCCTGACAGAGGAATACTGTGCATCAGCCTGACAAACCAGCCTGTGGCTCACTTTTGCAAAATAGCTTAGGAACTTGGATGCACCATTCATCTCCTTCAGTATCTAGAGAAGGATGACTTAAATTTCCCTCATCTGACCATTTTTAAACCATTTAAAAGATTATTTTTCTGTGCTTAAAACTATAGCCACTTGGGCTAACAATCATAACTATTCTAGGATCCTAAAGGTATGTGGTTTTTAGGTTGCAGTTTCACAGATGTCCGAGTTGATCTGTTGGCTTGTTGCCATAAGCAAGGCAGGGGCTTTTTCTCCCCTCTCATCAATTCCCTCCCTTTCCTTTTACCTGCTCTGCAGTGGTCAAACAAATGGCCTCTTTTGTTTTGTGTTCACTAATTAGCTTCCAGATGGGTTAGTGAGTTGAATTGTCTTTTGGACAGTCCTGGCAACCCTCAAGGCTGATGCCAGGTGAAAGCAGACAAAGGGGGAGTTGGCTGCCCCTTCCACTGGCAGGATTTTATTGCATTGCCCTCCTGTTTAGGGAATCTTCAACATCAGGGG